GGCAGCGCTGATCGCTTACCATCAGGCGATCCGTCTGCTCGTTTCTTTTTTCAAGCCTTCTGCGTGTGAAAGGAAGCTTTACTCAGCAGTGGGCATTTATACGCTGTTGATCACGATGATGAATAGAATACAATTGAAGGCAAATACTTTGCTAATAACTCGTTCACCGAAGACCCAATAGTGTTTAACATGGAAAATAAGCAGCAATAAGCTATGTTAGAGTCTTGGTTCCGTCTCTCGCGTTTATATAAACTAGTAACCGGAGCGCCATACATCTAATTACAGATGTTCGTACTAAAATAAATTATTTTAAATGTAAATACGAGCGATTGGCGCAATGATAGCTTTTATTACCAATGTACGTCACCGATACATATATAGTACACAGATATTCAATGTGAATCATTGTTAATTACTACGAAAATTTATTTTGATTACCTAGATTTTCTCTTAATGGTCTTATGATGCGCTAGAACAACTCCTACCTACCAAGTTGCTGATTATATCTAGTAGGTACTTAGTTGGTTAAAACAAGTTGTTTATTATATGTTATTGTTTTAAGTGTAGGAAAGCCATGCTTAGGCAAGAATGGGCCGGCTCGACCGGAGTTATACCACGGCGAAAACCGACGTGAAACAACGGTTGCGTTTTGATTCGTTGTGTGAGTGAGGTTACCGGAGGCAACAATTCCCCAATCTCCCCAATCCCCGAATCCCCAATAATCTTCAAATTCCTAATCCCCAAAAGGCCGGTAACGCACTCGTAACACTTCTGGTGTTTCAGGTGTCCATGGGCTGCACCGATTGCTTACCATCCACCCTTTGCTCGTTAACCGGTTTATTTCATAAAAAAATGTTTACTTTGAAAATATTATTTACTTGACTAATTGTCATTTTAATTTACAATGATTTAAAAATATTTAACTAAAACTAAGATACATGTATTGTAGCGCCATCTGTTTATAATTTTAGTTAATTATGAAATTGTTTCAGTTCAGAAAATAATATTAATTTAGGTTTATTAATTTGATCGATATTGACTGAAATTAAACAGTTATTTGTCACCTTTCCTGCTCTTTCCGCGGGTGCCCGACTAATGGACAACACCATAGATAAAATAAAAGAAGTCATTAATATTTCTGTGCAAGAGGTACAACGTGTACCTCTTACAGAAATTGGGTAGCAATAGCAACAACGGTCCTTGACTACTTACCAGAATCTTTTAAACTGGAAATGGTCTAAGACAACCTGCCTGCTAAGCGCGAAGATTCTTAGGTAGAGAAGGCAGAAGGCACATGGAACATGGACTATCCATGATGATGATGATGATGATGATCCTGATGATAGTTAAAGATCTAGTGATCAAACAATAGAATCTAATGCAGATGTTAGTTTCAACTATCAAAGTACCCAATTCAAAGACGCAAAACAGCGATAGTGTGCGCAGTAAATGCTAGTTAATGAGAAATTCCACCTATTTTTACCTAACCTCGTTCGTTTAATGAACATTCCATTTTACGACAAGTGAACGCTCATCACAGACTTAATGGCGGCACTTCCGGTTCATTAGCACGTAAAAAATAAACTATTAAAATATGGATTCGTGAAACATTCGCTGTTTTACGACGTTGGAGGAAGTTCTATAGATTTATAGATCATTTTTATCGAGTTCGGATCATTAATGTTAAGCTAGGCTTCGAGTCCAGTGATTAACAAATATGATTCGTGAAAGTGAAGTTCCAGGTTCAATCTCTGGGTGGAACACAAAACCTTCTTTGCAAAAACGTACCTATCTACATCTAGGTACAATAAGAATAGCAAAACTTAGAGTCAAAATATAGATTCTAGTCAATTTGTTTCAGTTTTTGGTAGTAATGAATATAAACCTAATTTCAACGTCCATGGAAATATTGCAATTAAAATTTAATCTCACCTAATTTATCCAAATAACTCATGCATAGATGTTAAAAACAATTATGTACTTCGTTCATATTAAAACTTTCATGAGAAATACTAAATTAGTTATATTTTCGGCTTACCCGCGTAGTAGCAGCGCGACAGTCACTGCGTCGCGTGTCGCGGAATGCTACTCATGAATATGAGTCTCTAGCCTGGCTTGAAACTAGTCGAGTTCCTCGTCAAATATTTACGTGAGTAAGCCGAAAACATATTTAGTTAGTCTACTTACCCGTTTAGTATGGGATAGCGTCGCGTCACCTTCGGGTTTTGTAACAAAGTCTCATGACCAACAGCTTCCACTACAGCACCTTCTACAGCTACACTAATAGCACCTAATCTAAATCATTACACAAGCTATCACCTACCTTTCCTAGCTACCAAATAGAGTTCGTGGAAGGCCACCCAGCGCGTGCGCAGCTGACAAACAAACCGACGAAGTACAGAGCACGGTAGCTACAAGTACGAAGGTACTTACATTTCTTTAGAAAACTCCTTTATGAAAGTTAGGGAGCTGATTACATCATGTCCGCTGTTCTCCGAAGGGGTAAGCAGAGATGCAGGTATCAGTCACTTCAATGGCATAGTCGTAAACTACTGTATTATCGAGGTAGGAAGTGGGGTTTCTATGCCTCTATTAACTGTTTAGACTTCATCTCAGACGCTATCAGAGTTAATCTTAAAAAAAATAGATTGAACCAGCTATTGATTCGATCCGAAACCACGTGCAGTTTATTAAATACGTAAACCAGAACTTTATAAGACGACAATGTATAAGGTAACCCATTGTTTATCATATGCCTTGTACATACAACTGAAAGAAAAATATTTCAATTTTCCGACGACTCTTGAAGATTTTTAAGGATCTTAAGTGAACGTTCAAAAATTACGACAAGAGAAATGACATAACATCACGCCTTTTATCCTCGACGGGTAGGCAGAGGTGCACATTACGCCACTGTACAATGCAACACTCACTTTTCACTATTTATGTTATGGGTCCCATGTAATAGGGGGTAAGAGAGAAGAGAGGAATGACGATATCATATTACCTCTTATGCCATGTAAAGGTATTATATATGGAGGTAGTAAGCGGTAGTATTGTCGTATGTTTTTACGTTTTACCCAAACATCAGAAGTCGAACTAAGAAAAGGAAATCAATACAAGCCATGTCAACATCTCAATAAAATCGCCAATATCAATACATTTCATAACACGTTTAGGCATATCTACATAAAAAATTAAAAAGTGTGCCTGTACATTATACTTATATCTTCAATAATAAAAGTCTAAGTCCAAAAGAATTAGACAGATTTAAATGAAACTTTTTCTGTTGTATAGATATTAAGCCTGAGGAATATAATAGATTAATTGGTTTTTATAATAAGTACCGTGAGACATACTAAGTTAACTAAAAATCGCGGGTTATTCACGTGAACGGAGAACCTAACGGGTAACCGGGGCTCCGACTCGACGTGCAGGAAAAGGAACGCGGTGGTTTTTAGTCAGTAAGAGTCTGACACTCCCTCCCGCCTCACCCAGGCGGGAGCAGTCATTCGATGATTTTCCCCCCTTAAAAAAAAAAAAATACGTAGTCTGCGCGACATCGTCACGAGCGCCTACCCTGCTCATTAGGAAGAGCTCTCGTCCACCACCACCGGCGACCTCTGTGAACCACCTCTGTGGCTCGAGACTAGTAGAGCTTTTCTCAGTATATTAATGTAGTAGTAAACCGCGATTTTTAGTTGAGTTTTAGGATATTTGTTTTTCGAAATTAGAATAAAAAAATTCTGAATAAGATAAAGTCACTATTTTACGCGGAAGATAACTTCTACGTAGATTGTCCGTAACAATAAAATTCCGTAAAACTAATATTTCCCCGGCCGAAACGGTCTACTCCCATCTATTCGCGTACTGATTAATTTATCTGTATTCACTGTCTTTATGTATCATTAATCGAGTCTGGATGAAACACAGGCGCATTGGAAACTCAATAAAACGGGAGTAACGTTTACAATGGCTTGTATTTATTTTAAGTGGTATTATTGGTACACCACCCGCGAACGGTACGGACCACACATAAAACCGAACACAATGTTTACGATCTTTATTGTAGTTTGAGTAGGATTCGATGCTGACGTGTAATTCTTTAAGGTATCCTAACTAATGGTCTATTTTTAGATTTTTCTAGTAGTAGGTAGGTACCTATATGTTTAAAAAGTGTGTCTGTCTGTACTGCTTGTAAGCCATGTGGTGATGACAACAAGGAATAGGTAAGTATAATTATGTACATAATTGTCACAGTGTCGCCATCTCTTTTGATAAAAAGGCAGCAGTGCTATCTGATAAACCCGAAACCTTTAACTGCCGAGCCCGCAGGGCGCTATGAGTGGAGATTTAGGCAACACCTGCTTATTTAAAAAAAGTCCATATTTCTATAGAAGTTGACGCTATAATGGATGAACTAATCAACAGACCTATTGGTTAGTAGGTAAGTTATTACAATCTATTGATTGTAATATTAAAAACTGATTGTTGACAAAACGTTAGATACTCAAATCATCAAAATTGATTCAGTTGTGAAACCCGTAAACAGAACTTTCATGAGTGTGTAATGAATTAAGAAACTCTAACAGCGACATATTTAAGAATATACTTAGCGCCATCTTGCATGGATAGTGGAACAATTTCGTAAAAGTGCATGTCTATTTTCAGACGAATGAAAGTAATACCGCTACTCAACAATAGATGTCATTATTGCCGAGAACATCAGCTGATTTATTTTAAAATTATTGCTTTGCCAATGCTTTGCATACAAATTAATTTTTAATTTACCTTATGAAAAATATTCTTGAAATCATTAAAAATATAAGTGTTCATAATAACCTAACAGATATTTAATGAAGACTATAAAAAATCTCTTTATTTAGACCTAATTCAAATAAAAATAAACAATACCATTATAAGAAGATTTTATATAACTTCAGAAACTGTAGACACCGTATAATGAAACGTCATTTTTAAAAAGTAAAAACAAAGTCAGGAAAATGACGTTTGTTGTCAGTTGCGCTTTGTTATCGTCGCGATTATTTTCTACATTCTTTAAAAGGAACAAATTCTTGTGTATACATACAGTCAAATCTCTTATGGATAAACGTGATGCAGCGAAGTCAACCATGGAACTCGTCAATATCCCGCCAATCGTTTCCATATACCGGCATGCTCTTCATACCTTCGATGACAGGTACAAAAATGATCTTTTGATTAATTTGGATAAACTGAAGTCTATGATGGACATACTGAAATCTGAGGACTTGGGCTACGACGATAACTTAAAAGACAAAGCGCTTTGGCGGCAACCCGATAAAGCACCCTGTACGTACATAGAAGTTTTTCAAAACGACCAAATAAACATGAGTATTTTTGTTTTAAAACCGGGTTTTAAAATGCCGCTGCATGACCACCCACATATGCACGGCCTTCTCAAAGTGATTTCTGGTGCTGTGAAAATTAGAAGTTTTTCCGAGTACCCACTAAAGCAGAATGTCAATCCCTTGGAGTTCCAAAGCATTGCGAGGAAAGAAGCAGCGCGACTAGCGAGCGGCCACCACAAGCGACGGAAATTATATGCTGAAGTCACCTGCGAAAAAGTTTGTTCTGAAAACACCAGTACTTGTATGTTGACACCCACCATGTCCAACTACCACGAGCTCGAGGCACTAGACATGCCAGCGGCCTTCTTTGACATCCTCTCTCCACCCTACGACACATTGATAGAAGGCATAGGACCAAGACGATGCCGCTACTACTATGTCTCCAATGAAATAAGCACCAACGTAGTGGAATTGCATGAAACTGAAGTGCCAAAATGTTTCTACTGTGATCAAGCACCGTATTTAGGACCAATACTTGGTTAGGTACAAATTTACTATAATTTAGGTAGCTATTTGAAGTTTTATAGAAAAATATTAAGTTCCTCGCCATATAATAGTATTTTTCTTGATACCTTCTATCAATTACTAATCTTGATATGCAAATATTCTAATGTCTCCTTCACGTTTTATGCAGTATTTGTTCTATTCATATGTATACATTGGTTAATGTTTTTCTAGCAAATTTATAATGAATTATCACATTATAGTCTCTATGTCCTACACTATACAAGTTACCATTAAAATTAGCCGTTGTCATAGTAAACATTACTGGGTGTTGTATGCATTTATCCATAGCTGTATGAAGTAGAAATAAAGTTATTGGAAGTCCGTACATTATCAAATATTAAAGTAGAAGATTGAATTTGTTATTACAAAAACTATATTGCGTAATTTACAATTTTATTAGATTTGAATGTTTACCTTCCATTTGTATGTGAAATGCATATAAAATTGGAGCTTACAAGATTTATTATACAAAAATACTAGTGGCAGTATGCTTAATGTGTTATTTATAAATGTTGATGGATGTGAAGTATTGACAATTTGCATTATTGTTGTTATTGGTTGTCTTATACTTAATGGAGTTACTATAATTCTATTTCTAAGTCAAGGAAATGATGTTTATTTAATTTGATGCTTGTTTTGTTCTTTTTGTTAGGCTCTTGACTCTTTATCTGTGACTTCTGTAAATTTTTTGTAATTTTTATGAAAATTTATAATTTAATTATAACGGACCACGAATTAGGATTTTAATGGCTTTCAAACTTAATCTTTCAGTTAATTTAAATTATATTTCTTGTAATGTTTATATCTTGGGATGTATGTTTTAAAACTCTCTGTTTTTTATTTTCTTTTCCACTTACCTACCTATGTATGTGTCATTAGTATTGTTTTAGTTAGATTATACAATTCACCATTGTCTTGTGCGATATACCTGTTATACTGGGCTGACAAGAATTTACAATCCACAGTGATATGCCCCGGATTTTCATCACAATAAACTAGAATAAGTTACGGACATATTTCAATGATATATTGACAAGTCAAACATTAGTTTTTTTTTTGAGGCTTTAAACATCATGGATGTATTACAATTTTATACGTAAAAATATGACAATTCTTTTACAATAGCACTGTTTTTTTTTAACAATTATGTATTGATTCTTTATGTCATCGTCTTACAATATTTTTTATTTGCTATAAGATGTATTTTGTAACATTTTAAGTTGAAAGTGAAAGAATGTTCACAACATTCCAACATTATCGTGTTGTACTTCTAAATATTCATTCGTCATTTTGGGTATGTAGCATTATTAATTGATCTCTAAAATCATTATTCGTAACGTCATTGTAATAGTTAGATATTAAATAAATCTTAAATATTGCACTTGTAAAATTGTATTTGTAGGGAAGCGTGAATTATTTCCTTTGTGATGCCAGAATTGAATTTATGAAAATTTTAACAAAATTTTAATGATGCACTGTTAATGTATAAGGAAATTTTATAGAAATAAGTTTTTGTTTTCCAAAAGTAGTATTGATGTTTTATTGTTAATAAAAAAAATTGATTTGTTAATTTTGTCTCTTATTTATTTTGTAGTATACTCATAACTGTCAAACACCGCGAGGACACCGGTGACCGCAACCTATTGTTCTTTAATTGTGTCTATAATGACGGTAGGTACTCAAAGAGTTAAAAGATTTTATTACTCACTAGATGAAGTGAATTTAATTTAAAATAATAGTTAAAGTTAATAAAAGTTATCTTCATTATGTTGTAAATAAATAATAGATAGGGTAATCACTAATCATGCAAATATTGCACATTCAATAGGTATGATATGAATAAATATTTTGCAAAATCACTACATTCACCAGGTACTTTTTTTTCATAATTACAAAGGTATCTAAATAAGTTGCGTATGCCTAGGTATTTATTTTTCGCTAATTTTGACTGCACATTTGGCTTGGTGGCTGGGCAACCGGCTGCCGTACAACGTGTAGCTTCGATTACCACACGGAGCAACTCTTTGTGATCCACAAATTATTGTTTCGGGTCTGTAATAGTCTCAATGTTCGGGTTTGGGTGTCATGTGTATGAGATATTATATGTTTGTAAACGCATCCACGACATAGGAGAAAATTCTAGTGTAGGGCAACCGAGGCAACGTTTTTAAATTATTATGAGGTCTCAACTCGCATGTATTTAATAGAGTAGGTAGATGGCGATTTTATTGTGTTTGTGGGATACCCACATCAAGCAGAATTACATGTTCGGAATATGTTCCGTTCTGTTCCATTCAATGGCATATGATATTTCAATCCATTTTCTAAGACGCTATGTATCTGCCTGTATTAAGTAACACAAATAAACTAGTTTATAGTTATTTACTGCCTATATATTTTATCATAATAGAAATACCTGGTATTGGGTAAATAATACAATTACGTATTGTTTTTTAGTTTTTGCATTCCATTCACCGATCGAACGATAAACACATCAAAACATCTTCGACGTTATCAATGTGACGTGCGTTTCCGTAAAATTATTATTATTACTTCCATAGATAATATATAATATGAATAAGCTGGACCAATATCTTTATCAATTACGTGAGAATTGGGACAACTACCTACTTTTTTTCTTTATTTTATTACTCACTGAGGTATGATTTTATCGAGTACCTACCTGGGTAGCTAATCAATATTAAGTAGGTACCTATCTTAGTAATTTTAATTAGTTGGGTATTTTGTGTAGGTACGTAAGTATTTGTTGACAATTTAGGTGAACATGTCTGTCTTATATGGTCATGATGATTCATCTAGGCATTTCTGTGATGGAATTTAGGTATTGAATTCGAGTGCAATCTATTTAGTTTTCGCTTGCTAAGAAGGCAAGTAGGTACCCGCCCCGTGCTGTGGACAACCTATTGGGTTACCGGTAACCGGGGCTCCGGTTCAAAACACGAGTAGGAACGGAGTGGTTTTTAATCAATAAGAGTCTGACACTCCCGCTCAATGACAGACAGAGTCATTAGGTACTACTCAAAAAACTAAAAAAAAAACCTTTACGTATTTGCTAAACCTTTTTCTATTTACCTGTTTATATTCGTAGCAATTTCTCCTATTCCAATAATATTTTCTTATCAATATTCGACAGGTTCCTTGAAAATATTTTGTTAGGCGAAAAGCATTCATCATCGATTAAAATGACGTCATTTTCTGCAAAGGTAAAGGTTGTGGGTAGGTTAGTTGACAAAATCGATGGGTAAAGAACTAAGGACGTGCGGTTGTGGACCACGTTTGTATTTACATAGATAAGTGCCAAAGTACCGACTTAGGTACGGGTACTTATTCCATATTTCACTTTATGCTGCCTCGTTAGTCGTTGGTCGAGTTGTAGCAAGTTCGAATGCCAATCAAGAGGTCTCAGGTTCGATCCCTGGGTCGGAAAGTGAGGTAAGAGACTTGCAGTTTTAGTTAAGTAGGTAATTAGCTCGTCTTTTATTGTATGGGTTTTCTAACGTAAGTAACTGATGGACATTTTAAGTAGGTAGGTACCTACTTACTGTTTACCCCATGGAAAAATTAAGGGCGAGGCGTTAACCTATGTATAAGACTGTACCCAAACCTTAGATATTTCCACGGTAGGTATCACACATTCTCTATAATCTATCTGACAATCTAGTGATACAAACAATGTGTTATCTTAATATTATCAGTCATGTACACATATTTCCCTTGAATGTCACTATTTTTATCTCAAAACACATCACGTAATTGTGTGACCTTCGCTTCGAGATCTTTTATTTAATAAAGGTTATTTATTATTATTTACTTAGGTACACATACCTACGTATCATGCCTCGTTGGTTCAGTGGCCGCGGTAAGAAGAGGTACACAAAGGTGCAGTACATGTATGTATTATGAACTCAGGCCCGAATGAATAGGTTGCTTATGGGACGACGTGCTCCATCGTAGACCGCATCACCGCTTACCACCAGGCGATATAATGATCAAACGTCGGCCCATCAATATTGAAAAAGGCTCTTGGATCGATATATTACAAATTAATTAAATAGGTAGGTACGTTGACAGCAACTAACTGTAGCCCTGAATGGGTTCAATGATCGGCAGGTGTTTTAAGTATAATAATTACGTTGTTAACAGATCTAATATCATTAAATATCACGCTGCGATCTATAGATATGAGTCCAGCAGCGGGTAAAACATTATGAAAGTTTGTGAAAACGCGTCTTGTTATTTTATTATTATTATGAGGGTAGGTAGCAGGGGCGTAGCTGGCGCCGTATTTGCCGTATCATTATACATACTTACAGTGTCCCACTGAGACCCCAACGTGCGTTAAGCAAAAATTAATTCTACAACTTCCCAATTTTTTAATTTATTTCAGAAATCACTAAAGTCAACATAAGTAGTAGGTAATTGATTTTTTTCCCACGTAAAGCATGCGTTAAAAAATTTACAAAACTTAATGAAGAAAAACTAAAGATACTAAAGTTATCATCGTCCGATAATTTGGACAAAAATATGGGGAGTGCCTGGAAAGTTTTTCGGGAGTATTGAAAATTGGCCATTTTGTAAGTACTTTAATGTAGGTACGTAATCTTCCAAAATTCATCGTGGAAAAATGGCGGGCAACAGTTTCTTTTACGAAATAATAATAAATAACGTTTCTAGATCGTCTATTCAGAAATCATTGACGATCTAGAAACAAACTTCCAAAGTGCCTAATGTTTAAACGAAACTACCCTCAAAAGCAATTTAAGGTATCATTACCCACTTTATAAAGGATATCAAACTTTAGCAACGCATCCTTCATTTTCAACCATACCTCAGTCAGATGTGTAAATAGTAAAACTGTAGTTTGAGCTGAACTAGTGCCTAGATGACCTATAAAACTGTATCGATTTTACTATTTAGGTCATGCGCTGAAGGTCATTGGTCCTGCGCCGAGTGAAAATATCGATCCGAGACCCAGGTAGCTTGTTAGGTGCACTAGGTCATTCATCCTTAGTGCAATACTGGGATGTTTCTCTTTGGTCGTTTGTTTACAAAGGATCGAAGTTAGATGAGCTTAAGAAGAAAATCACATAACTTTTGGAACCAGCATTTTGCTTCACTGACAGACTGATGGACAATTCACATTTATGTTTTAAAGTGAGGTTAATTGAAATATTAATAAACGCTTTGACTCAGGAGGTATCTATAGGAGTATTAGCTACCGACAAGACGTCCACAGCCAAACATAGGCAGGCCTCGCTCAATAACTTCAAGATTGGCCAGTTATTTGGAACAAGACTTCAAAGCGACCTGCACACTGCATCTAGCGGCTCCCTGTGATTTGTTTGTTTTTGGAATATACCAACATTTTATATTATGTTCCAAATCATCACATCATCACCATCAGCCGAAATACCTACTAGTGTACACCACTGCATAAAGGCCTCCCTATATTTCTAAATAGATCGTCCGCTTTCCAATAGAAATAGAGTATTACCAGGTAGTAATATTATTACCTACTACTTAGTAATAATATCATTAGGTAGACAAGCAGTTTTAATGTTAGGTAACTTCGAATGTAGAAATACGTGAAGTCCAGAAAAAGAAAGACAAATAATGGAACTGTCATGTATTTATGTACAAAAGTTCCTAATTAAATAAAGAGAAAAAAAAGACAAATAAGTTTTAAGTATCATCTTTATTTCGCTTCCAAATTAAATTATTTTACAATATTTGTCGATTTGATCTGCTGCACTAGTAGGTATTTTTATAATTTTGTTGTTTGTGGGTTGCAGTTTTATATTTTGAACGTACTTTAAGCTCGATTGAGAAGTAATTATCGCGTGAATGTTCCATTATCTGTGGATATTTCGATTTTACACAATCTCTTATTAAAACATTCGTTCTGTGTTCAATGCATGTTACAAAGCGTTACTGAAAAATTTAATGTACTTAATAAATACTGATCTAATGCGCAAACTACATTCCAAATTAATTAGGTATGCGAAAATTCCCATTCTTTGTATTTTCACACAAAATATTCATAAATAGATATCTAGAATACAAGACATAATCTTTCTCTCAATCAGTCCCAAATACCAATTCCAAAAATGTATTTGTTATTCACAACACTTTTCAGCTAAAATACTTTTTAATTCTTTACACTCTTCAAATCTATTACTTACAGAATAGAGAAGCAACAGAGTAACAAAATGTAAGAATATTATTGTTTTAATTCAGAAAAAATATATTATTTATACTGAATTGTCAAATTGTACTAATTTGCTTTATACAAAAGTTCTGGATTACATTTATTTTATTAAAAATCTACATTAGTAATTCAAAATATTAAATATTTACTAAATATATTAAACAGGTAATATACATTTTTAAAACACTACATTTTACTATTATAAAAAGTTTTTTTTTTTAATGACGTAGGACGAATATTTAGCTGTGGAATGGATATTAGGTAAGTGTAGGTATTATACTATGAATACGGCAGCATAGCT